AAAAAAAAAAAAAAAAATGGGAGAAAAAACACACTTTGAAAAATCGAGTGAGATCATCAATCCTTCTCCCAATCTCACATCTTCATTTAATATTGATCCCTGTGTGTTGATGAGATTATACCGAGTCTATAGACCTGACTGGGATCCCGGGGGGCATGTAAATAGCCGCCGTGTGTGTCAGCGTGTGCGTACATGCGAGTGCACCGGAGCACGTCTGGCCCTTAAAGTCCCTCCACCTCTCTTCTTACCCCCTCTCCTCCCTCTCTTCCCTTCCCCTCTCTCTCGCTCTCTTCTCCCAGTCCAAGCTGTTAAGCTGTCCAGCTCTCTGCTGCCAAGCGGCCGTGTGAAGCTTAGCCAAACTAAACACGGGCAGGCAGCCCGCCACTCGCCCCACACATACATGCGCCGCACAGACATACGCATGCGAGCACAAAAATACATCCGTGTCGGCTCGCGTGCACGAGCGCACACACTGGTGGCGGGAGTCGGGTCGCTTCTCGCCTCACACAAACAGTGAGAGTGACGGCTACACCAGAGGCCCACTAATAGCAGAGAAAAACAGACAGAATCAGTAAATGAGCCCCTCATTAACTTTTTCTGACCCTTCCTCCCCTGGGGAAAGCCAAACCAATCACACCGCCAAATCAGCTTCATGTACCAGACACTGATCCAACATCAGCTTTCGCTCATCTGTTCCACGCAGTACAAGCCTGTGTGTGTGTGTGTGTGTGTGTGTGTGTGTGAATCTGTGAGTGTACGGAGGTGTGCGCTGAGAGAGAAGAAAGTGAAAAGAGAGTATTCCTGTGCATGTATCAGTGTCTGCATGTGTGTTTTACATTCCATAACAAAGGCTGGCTTTGAGGCAGTCAGCCATCTTAAGGACTCTTTTCTTGATCACATAAAACTTTGGGCAGGAGTAACTTCCCCCGTCTTTGTTTGGCCCCTCCGGGCTTCGAGCTTTGGGACCACCGTACCAACTTGACTCCACTTGCGGTAGCCACTGATGATAAAGTAGATGCAGATGCCTTGCAAGCAAACACAAGGCTGTGGAAATGCCTCTTCAGTGCGAGCCTGTGTTGAATTACACAAATTCCTACCAAGGCCCTCTTTATGAGTCACAAGCAGGCTGACAGGGCCATGCCACAGTGACTGATAGATTCATTTGGCATTATTAAGTCACACCATTTAAAGGGGTAATTTGTAAGTGAGTGACGTACAGTTCTGTGTGCGAGCGAAGCCACAACAGATCGCTTTACTGTACTTGTTATTGCACCAGTGACGTAGAGCTTTATTTAATGTGGATGCTGTGTTATGAGTGGAGGGGTCTTAGCTGTTTACGTCTCCATCACCTCTCTCTTCCTTTGAGTGTGTCTCCTCTCTCTCTCTAATGCCACAGCTCCCTCCCCCACTTCCTATATTTGTGTTTTTCCACCCATTGGTGTGTTGTTTTTTTTTTGCCACTGCTGCCTCCCCTCTCTCCATATGGAAATGACAGAGTAGACGAGATGGATCTGTATATTAAAGCCTAGCTGACATTAGAATTAGCATAATGTGTCGTGGCCTGAGGGCAATACCTGCCACCTACATTAGCCTGCAGACACACAAACTGTCTGTGAGTGTATTTCACACACTGGAGCCCCTCATCTATACACACAAACAGGAAGCTGCTGGGTTTTGAGTGTGATTAATTTCCCTGTAATTCCACACATGTTCACATACACATAAATGCATTAGAAAGATGCTGTTGTGCATTTGATTTGAATATTGTTTTGTTAGACTAACAGTGTTTCTCTTTGTCACGTCCCACAGATAAAGATGAGCCATCCAGCTACATCTGTACTACCTGTAAGCAGACCTTCAACAGTGCCTGGTTCCTGCTTCAGCACGCCCAGCACACTCATGGCATCCGCATCTACCTGGACAACCACCCCGTCAACTGCTCCCTCACTCCCCGCATGGCTCTGCCTCCCCCTCCAGGAGCCGACGCCCTGCCTCGCTCCCCTCTCCCCACTTTCCTCGGCGACACCAACAACCCATTCCACCTCCTCCGCATGGCCGCGCCCCTGCTCAGGGAACACCCCCCTCCTCCGGGGTACATAGAGACCCGGCTGCCTGCGACGCCGCCCTTCGTCAGCCCTCCGCCTCCCCCGAGACCACCTCTAGAGCGGCTGGGCCCAGAGGAAATGGGGCTGCTGTCACAGCACCCCAGTGCCTTTGAGAGGGTGATGCGAATGACCCCCATGGAGCCGCCTTCCATGGACTTCTCCCGGCGACTGAGGGAGCTGGCGGGCAACACAACTAATAACGGCGGGCCCACGCCTCCTCTCTCACCCAACCGTGTGCCACCCATGCACCGTCTGCTGAGTCCCACGCTTTTCCAGCCTGGTGCCAAGCCCCCGGCATTTCTCACCTACGCTCCGCAGCCGCCCACCCCTCAGGGGGGACACGGGTCTTCCAGCCCTCCTGACTCACAGGGTCAGAGCCAGACCCCAGGGAAATCCAAATCCTGTGAGTTCTGTGGCAAGATTTTTAAGTTCCAGAGCAACCTGATCGTGCACAGACGCAGCCACACAGGAGAGAGGCCGTACAAGTGTCATCTATGTGATCATGCCTGTTCCCAGGCCAGCAAGCTCAAAAGGCACATGAAGACACATATGCACAACAAGTCTGGGGCCATGAGCAGCTCCCCAGAGCAGGGAAGCAGAGGAGAGGGAGGAGATGGTGAAGAAAAGACAAGGGAGGAAGATGCAAGGGAAATGGGAATGGACAATGAGGAGGAGGAGGATGAAGAGGAGGAGGAAGAGGAGGAGGAGGAGGAAGAGGAGGAAGAACTGAGGAATGGAAGTCGGCCAGATTCCAACTTGAGTGAGGACTCCCAGGAGTTCGGCCCGAACAGGGAAAATGGCCCAAGACACTCTCCTGAGGAGAAATCCCTGGGCGGGGATAGAGTAAATGACAGTGGCGGGGTGGGCATCATGCACCCGTACAACCACCTGGACAATCACCTTAGACTTAACCCTAACAAGAGAAGCTTGGAGAGGCAACCTAACGGAGACGGTGGAGAGAGGGGTGAAGTAGAGAGACAGAGAGAGAACGAGAGGGACCAGGACAGAGAGCGAGACGAGCAGGAGGACCCGAGGCCTGTGATGAACGGAAGGATCAGCGTATCTGAAGCAGAGTCCTTCCCTGGGCTGTTCCAGCGTCGGCCCACCCCCATCACCAGCCCGAGCCACTCCAACAACAAGAGGATCAAGATAGAGAAGGAGCAGCTGGAGATTCCTCCAACCATACCCCTCATCTCCCCAGAAAACGTCTACTCTCAGCTCCTGGCCGGCTACGCCGCTTCACGCCACTTCATCAGAGAACCTTTCTTGGGATTCACTGATTCCCGCCAGTCGCCGTTCGCCACCTCTTCCGAGCACTCGTCTTCGGAGACGGGGAGCCTCCGCTTCTCCACCCCGCCTGGGGAGCTGATGGAGGGCGGGAGTGCCTCAGGGCGCAGCGGCAGCAGCACCCCTCACCTCCTGCGGGGACCTGGACCCGGCAGGCCTCCGAGCTCCAAAGAGAGGAGGAACGACACCTGCGAGTACTGCGGCAAGGTGTTCAAGAACTGCAGCAACCTGACGGTGCACCGACGCAGCCACACGGGGGAGCGACCCTACAAGTGCGACCTGTGCAGCTACGCCTGCGCCCAGAGCTCCAAGCTGACGCGCCACATGAAGACCCACGGGCAGTTTGGGAAGGAGGTGTACCGCTGCGACATCTGCCACATGCCCTTCAGTGTCTACAGCACGCTGGAGAAACACATGAAGAAATGGCATGGCGAACATTTGATGGCCAGCGAGGTCAAACTGGAGCAAGCGGACAGAGGTTAAGCCAGCAACCAGACAGCATACAGTGTACACAAAACACACAAACACATACACACACACCTACACACACACACATACAAGTACACACAAAAATCCCTATAACCACTTCTTCAGCAATGGGGCTTGGCTGGATAATCTCACTTAAAAAAAATTTGAGATTGATTGATGTTCATCTTTTTTTCTTGTCACAGAAACTGCCACCTGAGAATATAAACAAAGGGAAACTTTAATGAGAACTTGTCTGGAACGCCCAACTTGACGTTTCTTGGCAAACTGTCTGAGGATTTTATCAGTTAGGAATCCATGGAGCCTTTCTACTGTGCAATAATTTCTGTATTTATTGGATTTTTGTAATGATATTTGGCATGTGCAGGTACATCTTTGTGGGATTTCATATGGAGTTAGTTTTGAAATGTGCTAAAAAAAAAAAAACGTTTTTTTTTTTTTTCTAAAATGCGATGAAAACTGAAAAGACGTCACCCTTAATACAAATTTTCTTTGTTTTCCTTTAAGGAACCTTATTATCACGTGAGAGTAAATTTGTGTGAAGCAGTTAGCTTTTAAAAGTAAAAAAAAATAATAATTGTTTTCTATATTAACTGCAGCAGCGGACTACAATCCATTCCCTCATACAGGCCTAAAAGCACTGAATGTCAGCCTGACAATAAAACATCATTGCTGGATTTTAAAAATCCAACATTATCTTAGAGACCTGGTAAGTTACGATTAATTTATTCAGGGAGTTTTGTCCTTTTTGAACATTGGCATGTGAATAATTTCAAAATGCAGTTACTGTATTGCTGTCCTTGCTTCGGCGGGGACGTAAATAGAGGTTGCACTTAAATGGAGAAACCCTTAACTGATGCTCAGTACATTCCCAATGTAGGATTAAACCACCATATTTAATATGTTGAATAAGTTAAGACTACTTGTGATTAATGTGAGAAGGAGAAACAGTCCTGTTTATGGTTTGTAAATATATTCTTTTCTTTTATATGTTAAAGTAGCCCTGACTGACCATGAAAGATGGCCTAAAACTAAACAATCAGAAGACCAGCTGCTTGCATCATCCACAGTATATGCTAAATGTAACTACCATGCATTATTGCTTTATCAGACCCATCCCATGTGTGCTTACTCAAAGGCGATTTGTTAAACTACTTCAACACTCTCCGAATCATCCTCCATCTCCCTCTCGTGTGTGGCGTGGCGGCCCTCTCTGACCCAGGTTGACTTCCTGCGTCGTCCCCCCACCACCACCACCACCTACACTCCCCCCCTTAGGATCCGCGAAATAGTTTCAAATGAAATTCATATCAATATGTGTGTTGGCGTGTGTTCTTCTCTCTGCAGTAGCGCTCTAAGCCTCTCTCCGACGGCGTCTTTTCACAGTTCACTAGCTCAGATTCATGCATTAGAGCGGCTTTTAAAAGGAAGCCTGTTCATTCGCCTCACAAAGTGATACGGGTTTAACTCCCAGTAACAGATTTTAGAGACAGTGTGCATGTTCGTGTCTTTTGGGGATTACGTTTTTTTTTATTTTCTGCATCGTTCATCCTGAAATGAATCTGGTGCTAAAAAAAAAAAAAAAAAAAAAAAAAGCTATATGAGTTATGATAATTTGGAGCACAGCTGCACTAGGGGATGGCCGGGCGACCTTGAGTAGGGGCTATTCTTAAAGCTAAAAAAAAAAAAGAAAGAAAGATTGGAGCGGAGAAATGAAGACGTGTGAGAAAGAAATAGAAGGAGAGAGAGCAAGACCTTGACCAGGGAGAATAGTCATTCAAATGAAATTGGAAGCATATGAAAAGTGTATTTTTTTTTTTCTTCTTGTACCCAAATGCACATCTACTGGCCACATCTTATAACAGACCATCGGAGTGAGACAGAGCGAGCACGAGAGGGAAGGAGACAGCGAAACCACATGAAAAGGAGATTGAGACTACATCTTTCATTTTTAGTACTGCAAATTCTCAATCGTCAAAATCATCATCACTTGAAAGTTTGACCTGCTATCTTGGCCCATTGTCAGGTTTTATCTGTGCCACTTTGTTTTGATAGAAAAAGAAAAAAAAAAGAAAAAAATTCCACTGTACCTTGAATGCAAATTCCTCTCTTTGGGATCTTTAGAAAAAGGAAATGATGTTGAGGTCACGAGAGCTCTCCATAAGCTATTCAGTCACCATGCAGTTCAATATGTTTTTAGTGAATTAACATGAAAAGCGAGATCGGCTGAAGAGCTACTCTCAGCTTGCTTACACATGTTGATGCATGAGTGCTAAAAAAGAAGAAGAAGAAGAAGAAAAAAAAAAAAAGAAAAATCAAGGTCCTGATGTGTATTCATTCCCAGAAAACTCAGTTCAGAGTTGGGCCTAAATGAGCCATACAACTATGAATTCGAACACACTTCAAACAATGAACCCCCACAGAGATCCAAATCACACATGGACATTCAGTCTTACAATATGTTTACAGTGTTGAAGTATGCCATTAATGAAATACTCTGTGTAAGTGTTTAAAAATGATAATAAGTATTGTTTTTTCTCCAATGTTCTTTCAAATGATTTGAATGCCATAGCAGTTTTGTATGATTATCCTGGTGGAGGGATTTTATCTACATGAATATGTTTCTGTATGATTGCTTGTTCACTGTATGGACATTTTTTTGTTTTGTTTTGTTTTTAAATGTAATATTGCAGAATCATGCCAGATTATTATTTTTTTCTAACAACAGTGGTGCCATTATTGACTTCTGGTATCTTCTTTTATTTTATTTTTTTT